AGTGTTGAGCGTCGGTCAGATCCCCAGGTAATTCCTGACAGCGCTGTTCTCCTTAGACCGTAATGATCTATTTGTGCCTCCACACTATCCACTCCTTCCCAAAAGGCTCTCGCAACATCTAGCTTGTCATAAATCTCCCCCACCAAGTGGTGCAGAACCGGCCAGTCGATCTGCCGTCTCGTTTCTCAACATACCGGCATAACTACAAAAACATATCCAAAGGACGCTAACTACCCAGGACCTCAGAAGCGATGCTTGCAACTTTGCACGCAGCACGCCTGTCTCCACCTTTTTCAACATCCTGTTTAAGTCAGTTACAATTATGACATGTGTGTACAGCTGATTCTCCAGATTCGGTATAAAGGTATTACCGGTACATCTACGTGGATGCTCTTGCACTCCTCAGTATCAAAAACTACTAATCTGCAGAAATATTAGGTACTTGATTCAACATAAGTAAGTAAAGTAAAGTTCCCTTTTCACGCATTTCGGCGCATCGGGCATATGGGCAGAGCGTCCCATATTTTTACATTACCATCAGCACTCTGTGGGTAATGTGGTCAGCATTACGCCGGCTGTCTTTACTTTCCCAGGACAGCCCATCCTGGTACCCATTTTAGGCTGGGTCGACCTGCGACGTCCCATACCACGATAAAAATCCACGCAGCCTGCAGTGGGTTGGGGTTAGGCCAACGTTTACAATGCTTTCTCATTGAGGTTTAGAGATGTTGTCTAAAGACAAAAACGAAGTCTCATTGCAGAACTATCCTCCTCTTTTGACTTCTTCTCCTCCCCTCCCCTTCTCCTCCTCCGCTTACTCTACCGTCACATCGTCTCTTATATCTACCTGTGTCTCAGAATTCATTTACATTTACCTATGTCTCGCGCTTCTTTTACATCTACCCCTGTCTCTCACTTCTTTTATACCTACTCCTGACTCCTCTATCTACTGTCTCTCACTTCTTTTATACCTACTTTTTACTCTTTTATCTACTTCTGTATCTCACTTCTCTTTTATCTACTCCTGCCTCTCACTTCTCCTATATCTGCCTCTGTCTCTAACCTCTCTTTTATCTATCTCTGCCTCCCATTTCTCTTGTATCTACCTCTGTCTATTATTTCTTTTATATCTACCCCTGTCTCCCGCTTCTCTTATATCTACCTCTGTATCTCACTTCTCTTATATCTACCCCTGTCTCTCACTTCTTTTATACCTACTTCTGACTCTTCTATCTACCTTTGTCTTTCACTTCTTTTATGTCTTCCTCTGTATCTCACTTCTCTTATATCTTCCTCTGTCTCTCACTTATCTTATACCTACCTCTGTCTCTCACTTATCCTACATCTACCTCTCTCTTACTCATTGTATATTTACTTCTGTCTCTCACTTATCCTATATCTACCTCTGTATCTCACTTCTCTTATTTCTACTTCTGCCTCTCCCTTATCCTGCAGCTACCTCCGTCTTTCACTTATCTTATATCTACCTCTGTCTCTCACTTATCTTATATCTACCTCTGTCTCTTACCTCTCTTTTATCTACTTCTGTTTCCTCTTATATTTACATTTAAAACCTACTTTATTATATTCTACTCTTGTGTACCCTTTTCTTGTATTTATAACCTCCTCCTACACTTCTGAAAACTGTCTCTGCACCATGGACGTTTGTATTACATTAAGCTGGAACTCCTCCAGCTCGACTTTCCTGTTAACACCGTTAAGTGTGTGTATTCGGGCATGCCTTTCAGCCAAAATATGCACCACCGGCCGTACGGCAGAAGAATTCGCAGCCCTGGGCACTGGAACTAACCTCTACATTCAGAATGGGACTACCCCTGAGTCCAGTATTCTGATTCCGTCTACCTTGTCTGAAGCTCAACAGTCGGCGTGGTCGGAGGGACGGTGCATTCCATACATGGGTAAGTGAAGGTCATCATCATCAGGTGCCTTGCCGACTGGCGTGGGCAATCATGCCTCTCCATAATCTGCGATCTCCTGCAGCATGTATCAGTTCGTGTGCCGACACACCTCCATGCCATGCAACAAGACTGTCAAGCATCTCCTCTCGTTGTCTTCCTCTGTCTCTCCTTCCACATATCTTTCCAGTGGTCACCACATGTTCTATTTTCCCTCTTCTCATAACATGGCCGAAAAATGATGACTGTCTCCTTCTGATGTCTGTGATAAGTTGTCTTCGGGCTCCCGCCTCTTTCAAAACCTCTTGGTTGCTTTTTTTGACTGTCCAAGGTATTTTAAGCATTCTTCTGTAAAACCACATCTCCGAGGCCTCCATAAATTGTTTGGCCTGTCTACCGATTGTCCAGGATTCACAGCCAAATGTTAAAACTGGATGTATGTAGCAAGCAAAAATTCTTTTTCCAACTCTGAATGACAAAGATATACTGCACAGGATGTTTTTCATTTTATAAAATGCAGTTTTTGCCTGTTCTATTCTTTTTCTTATCTCAGTTATGCATCTTCCATCTGATGTTATTCATGTGCCCAGATACTTAAATTTCTGTCTTGTCTTGTCTTGTCCACAATTGCCTCACAGCGTAGTGGGGAGTCGCAGTTTTCTATCCTGGGCCAGGTGTGTTGCACGTGTTGTTGTTAGTCCGTGTTGCCTCAGGATCTCTGATATATTGTCTATCCATCGTACTCTCTGTCTGCCTCTTGCTCTAGGGCAGTAGTGCTGTTCGTTGTATGCTCGTAGAGGCAGTTGGTGGCCTTAAATTTCTGTACTTGACCTAAAATAACACCATCAACTTTTATTACACACTTAGGAATAATTCATTTCTTTGATACCACCATTACTTCTGTTTTCCCATTATTCAAACTGAGGCCCATTCTTCCACTTTCTAACACCACAATGTCTATCATTTCCTATAGTTCTTTTTGACTTGTTGCTATCAATACTGTATCATCAGCATAACGTAAATTGTTTATATTGTGCCCACCAACCACAATTCCGGGCATACCAATTAAAGCTCTCATTATATATTCACTGTATATTGAAAACAAATCAGGTGATAGTACACATCCTTGTCTTACGCCCCTCTTTATGCTTTGAAATGTACCTAAACAGTTGTTAAATCATATAGCTTCTGTTTGCTGCCAATACATGTTCTTAATTATTCGTAGATCTTTCCCATTAATGTTTAATTTTTCTAACAGTTTGATTACTTCTTCATGCTTTACACAGTCAAATGCTTTTGTATAGTCTAGGAAGCATATGTACAAATCAGTCTTTACTTCTATAGCTCTTTCTTACAATGTCCTTAGGATGTATATGGCATTGTTTGTACCTTTTCCTTCTACAAATCAACATTGTTCATCGCTGATTTCTGGTTTCATTTTGTTTCTTATTCTTCTCATAATTATTCTCAGTAAAATCTTAGTCATGTGACGCATAAGACTTATTGTGCGATGGTCTTCACATTTTATATGGATTTTAAAAGGTCATTTGGAATATACCCACTATTATAAATATCATTTAAAAGTTTAGTTATTATGTCAATTCCAAAATCTCCCAGTGCTTCGATTTCTTCCAGTGAGATGTTGTCTGGCCCGGGTGCTTTTTCTTTCTTTATATGATGTATTGCATCTTCAACTTCTGCAGTCATTATTGGTGGACCATCATTGTTGGTCTGCAGTTCTACATCTGGTCTATTATCATCATACAATTCCCCTATATACTCTGTCCATCTGTTAATTATATTACTATGTCCTATTAATAAATCACCATCTTTTGATTTAAGAGAAGGTATTCAAGTTATATTCTGAGGTCCTTTATATTTTGTGCATGTGTGTGTGTGTGTGCGCGCGCGCGTGTGCTTTCTCTCTGGTTCTCTGAATATCATTCTATTTTTGTCTCCCTCTCTCTCTCTCTCTCTCTATATATATATATATATATATATATATATATATATATATATATATATATATATATATATATATATATATATATATATATTCTCTTCAACTGTCTTCCGAAACCATTTCGATCTGTTTCTTTATCCCTGCATTACTCTCTGTATCTGTGTGTGTATATTTTTCTTTCTCTCTCTCCCTCTCTCTCTCTCTCTCCCTCTGTTCATCCCTGCGTTACTGTATGCATCAGTCTCTCTCTGTCTCATGGATAAGTGTGTGTGTGTTTGTTTGTTTGCTTGTTTGTTTGTTTGAATGCGTATGTACTTTTTTCGGTTTTATTTACAGAGCAATACACATAATGTTCTTTTTTTTCAGGAATACATTTCTACTACAACCTCACCTTTGACATGTCATGTGACCAGTTATTCCCTGTAGTCATTCTCTACAACAAGGGCCAGCTCAACGCCTTTGCTTGGCTGTTCACCTCAGTTTTTCAGGACAAACGGAATGAGGTGTCGCCCAAAAAAGTGTATCCAGTAGGTATTGTCTTGTCAAGGTATTGTGTGTGTGTGTTTTTTTTTTTCTCCCTGACCGCCTTTGTGCATTACCCAATGTGTGGACATTCATGTATTTTCCCGTGTATGGACATTCACGTTTGTTCCTGTGTATGGGATATTCAGGTTTTTTCCTGTGTATGGAAATTCACGTCTGTTCCGGTGTATGGATATTCACGTTTTTTCCTGTGTATGGAAATTCACGTCTGTTCCGGTGTATGGACATTCACGTTTTTTCCCTGTGTGTGGACATTCACGTTTGTTTCTGTGCATGGACATTCACGTTTGTTCCTGTGTATGGACATTACCGTTTGTTCCTGTGTATGGACATTCACGTCTGTTTCTGTGCATGGACATTCACGTTTGTTCCTGTGCATGGACATTACCGTTTGTTTCTGTGCATGGACATTCACGTTTGTTCCTGTGCATGGACATTACCGTTTGTTTCTGTGCATGGACATTCACGTTTGTTCCTGTGTATGGACATTACCGTTTGTTTCTGTGCATGGACATTCACGTTTGTTCCCGTGTATGAACATTCATGTTTATTCCTGTGTATGGACATTACCGTTTGTTCCTGTGCATGGACATTCACGTTTGTTCCTGTGTATGGACATTCACGTTTATTCCTGTGTATGGACATTACCTTTTGTTCCTGTGTATGAACATTCACGTTTGTTCCTGTGTATGGGCATTACCGTTTGTTCCTGTGTATGAACATTCACGTTTGTTCCTGTGTGTGGACATTCACGTTTGTTCCTGTGTATGAACATTCACATCAGTTCCTTTGTGTAGACATTCACGTTTGTTCCCGTGTATGGACATTACCATTTGTTCCTGTGTATGGACATTCACGTTTGTTCCTGTGTATGGACATTCACGTTTGTTCCTGTGTATGGACATTACGTTTGTTCCTGTGTAAAGACATTCGCGTTTTTTTCTGTGTATGGACATTAACGTTTTTCCTGTGTATAGACATTGCCTCTGTTCCTGTGTGTGGACATTCACGTTTGTTCCTGTGTATGAACATTCACATCAGTTCCTTTGTGTAGACATTCACGTTTGTTCCTGTGTATAGACATTCACGTTTGTTTCTGTGTATAGACATTCACGTTTGTTCCTTTATCTTCGAATTCACGTCTGTTCCTGTGTATGGACATTCGCGTTTGTTCTTGTGTATATATATATCCGTTTGTTCTTGAATGAATCATGTGTACCAGGGCTAGGGTTAACCCTGGTCAAGATCTATCTGCACCTCTTCCATCCATACAGGGGACTTGGCAACTGTAGATAGCATCGACGGTTCTTTTTAACTGCATCTGTCTGAGAAATAGGGAACCAACAGTCTGCACATAGATAAGCCCGCACGCAACACAGTGTCCTAGAACCAGGCCAAAGTACAAAAGAACACCAAGATGGACACTAAGAAGGAGAAGGATGTGAAGAAGAAGAAGAAGAAGAAGAAGAAGAAGAAGAAGAAGAAGAAGAAGAAGAAGAAGAAGAAGAAGAAGAAGAAGAAGAAGAAGAAGAAGAAGAAGAAGAAGAAGAAGAAGAAGAAGAAGAAGAAGAAGAAGAAGAAGAAGAAGAAGAAGAAGAAGAAGAAGAAGAAGAAGAAGAAGAAGAAGAAGAAGAAGAAGAAGAAGAAGAAGAAGAAGAAGAAGAAGAAGAAGAAGAAGAAGAAGAAGAAGAAGAAGAAGAAGAAGAAGAAGAAGAAGAAGAAGAAGAAGAAGAAGAAGAAGAAGAAGAAGAAGAAGAAGAAGAAGAAGAAGAAGAAGAAGAAGAAGAAGAAGAAAAAGCAGCAGCAGTAGTAATAGTAGTAGTAGTAATAGAAGTAATAGTGATGGTAGTAGTCGCTGGCAGCAGTAATTGTTTTTTTTTTTTTTTTTTTTAATGTATAAATAAAACTAGCTTTATTTCTAAGATTAGTAAAACTAACGAGTAAAGCATGTGTCACTGGCATCAGAAACAGAACACCCACACTGCTTTGGGCACGTCATTTAAATGGGAAAACTAAACTATGTTGGATAATAGTGAAGTCAGAGTGAAAGAGAGGCAGACGGAGACCCAGTAAGATAAATCTTAGACAGTCTGACATGACATGGTACACACGGATACTTGTTCTAATTCTTAAAAGTTCCAAGGAACACATCATACTTCCATACGTTGCTCCTATGAGTACAAGATGTCCAATGAGTGCAAGATGCCCAATGAGTGCAAGATGCCCAATGTCTGCAAGATGCCCAATGACTGCAAGATGCCTAATAACTGCAAGATGCCCAATGACTGCAAGATGCCCAGTGAGTGCAAGATGCCCAATGTCTGCAAGATGCCCAATGACTGCAAGATGCCTAATAACTGCAAGATGCCCAGTGACTGCAAGATGCCCAGTGAGTGCAAGATGCCCAATGTCTGCAAGATGCCCAATGACTGCAAGATACCCAATGAGTGCAAGATGCCCAAAGAGTGCAAGATGCGCTGATTATATGTCTTTCATTACCACCAACTGGGTTTCTGATGCTGAACTCCCTGGGAATGAAAGGGTTAAAAGACAATTGGCAGTAAATGTGGCAGGAGGCTGTGAACAGACAGGATTACCAAAGTTACATTCGGTATAGATTTTAAGAAGAAAAGATAATAGGAGGAGGAGGGGGGGGGGTAAGAAAGTGGTGGAAAATGGGGGGGGGGCAGAAGTAGAAGAAGGATAAACATAATGATGTTGAAGACAAACAACTTTTTTCAAAAAGTCTTAAATTGGGCACGCAGGCCCATCTTATATTTGCCTGTTCTGAGCGCTCAACTTTTCACACAGCAATTCTATTTTATATGTGATGATGAAGTTGATGAGCAATAACAAGTACAATCAGGTTCAACTTAAGATATAGTGCTACAACAATGTTGCTCTAATTGAAACGATTTCTGCAAAGTTATTGAGCCTAAACTGCCAATTTCATCTGGGTATGCTTTTCTCTATTTGCAGTTTTTCATCTCACCAGTTCCCAAATGCATGAACACGTACGATTTCCTCACCACGCAACACGTCTACTTGACTGACGATATCACTCTCAACAAGTGTTAG